CGAGGGCACACCCCCTATAGCATAAACCCCTCAAAAAAAAAAAAGGAAAAAAAAACATGAATAGATAAAGTTAAATAAAATAATACTTAAAAAAAGAAAAAAGAAAAGAAAAACACTCCAGGTGTGTGCATGATGCATGCACAAAATGTCGAGAGGAGACTGGAGGACAAGGAATGTCGAGAGGAGACTGGAGGACAAGGGACTGAGGCATGGCCATCCTCCTCAGGGGATGCTTTCTCAGTTTCTCTCTCTCTCTTTCTCTCTCATGAGTGCACACGCCCTATAATTAAAAACAAAAAACGGGCTGGCAGGTGGCATGGTAGTTAGAGGCACTGGATTCCCACGTAGCTGACCGCAGTTTGAGTCCTGGACCGGGCAGCTTGCATTCTCACTTTCCCTTTCTCTCTCTTTCTCCTTCTCTGTCTCTCTCTGGTCAAATTTAAAAATAATAAATTAAAATAAATAATTCTTTAAAAAATAAAAATAAATAAAATGATTGCATCAACCAAAACCGAACAGAAACAAAACAAAAACACTTCACCAAACTAAATAGCAAAATAATTGACACTGTCTTAGATAAAAATGTCAGAAATATAGATATCATTATAAATTAATTATCTTAATATAAGTATAATAATTCAAATATGAATAAAATTGTAAAGATGAGCTCTAAAGAATTTGGAATGAAAACATGATCTGGTGCATTTTCCACATGGTCTCTCAATTACTTAGAGCTGCTCAACAGTCTAAGGAGTGATCCTGTGTTAAGAGAATTTACTATGGCTACTATGAGAATGGAAAGATATATGATCTTATCCCCTGTTATGTCTTGGAGTTTTGCAGGTATCTGATGAAATGAACTCAGATCCAGAGAAACTGAGTACACTTCAGAAAAGCGTTCACCAACAACAGGATAACTTATCCCAGCAACTGAGCAACTACAGGAACTTTCCTGTGGAGGAAGAGTCCCTCAAATCACAGATATCCAACCTACTGAAGAGGCAGAGACAAATGGCCATCAAACTCTGCCAAGAGCTGCTCCTTCACACCTCAGGTATCAGACTGGGATCTACTGAGGTAGGCAGAGTCTGCTCCACTAGCTCCAGCTGGCCATGTGCAGAGTCCCTCAGAGTCTGAGAGAATTGCATTATCCAAGGAGCAATTAATGATGTACTAAATGGGGCCAGCAGGTGGCGTGGTGGTTGGGGTGTTGGACTACCACATGGTGGCCACAGTTCAAGTCCTGGACCTGGAGGCTTGCTGCAGCTTGCTTTCTCACTTTCCCTTTCTCTCTCTCTGGCCAAATTAAGTAATAATAAAATAAATAAAATGAACTAATTCTTTAGAAAAAATGATGAACTAAATTTATAGAAGACAGAGGGAACTACACATTTATTTAATAGTTTTGAAGACAGAGACAAATTTGGGAAGCATCTTGGAATGATACCAAGCTGATTATTTCAAGCCCTCACTTTATGAACTATGTCAAGGTGATCCTCTGTTATAAGAAATTAAAAGCATAGCTCATAATTCTCAAGCTGAAAGACAGCCCTGAAAAGAGAATCTCTATTGCCCCAACCCATAGCTAGGGGTAACTTTGTGTTTTAGGGTGCCTACTCTCAGACTTTATCATCCAATTAAATAATTTAGTTTCCAAAGCCTTTCCAGTCTCTCCAGAGCCATTTAAGTTTGTACCACTTGTGTAATTTTTTTTTCCAGACCACAGATGTAATCCTTGCCCTAAGTCATGGCGTTGGTACCAAAACAGTTGCTATTACTTTACAACAGATACAGAGAAAACCTGGACTAACAGCAGGAAGGACTGCACAGAGAAGAACTCCACCCTAGTGAAGGTAGACAGCTTGGAAGAAAAGGTATGATTGAGTCTCCTTCCCTGGTTATAGAAATTATTCATATCATGAAAGATAAATGAAATTTCAGATTCATATGATAGGAATTCAATGCATTTTGACTGCACCGAATAATGTTTTCCTTTTTTCTTTTCCTCTCAGGAGTTCCTGAAATCACAGCCATTAGCCAAGTTTTCTTTCTTTTGGTTGGGATTATCGTGGGAGCCATTTAGCAGAAACTGGCTGTGGGAGGATGGCTCTATTCCCTCTCCATCCTTGTAAGTCTCTGCGTAGTGGGTGGGTGAGTGGGGGGGAAGCAAGTTTTCCATAGATTCTTGATGAAATAAATTTTAATTGTAAGAATTATAAATCTAGATACAAAAAAGGAGTACAACTTACAAGTAAGAAAGAGCTTCCATAGAAATATTGAAAGGAGAAATATCTATTTTTTTTTATTTTGGAGAGAAAAGGTATGATTGAGTCTCCTTCCCTGGTTATAGAAATTATTCATATCATGAAAGATAAATGAAATTTCAGATTCACATGATAGGAATTCAATGCATTTTGACTGCACCGAATAATGTTTTCCTTTTTTCTTTTCCTCTCAGGAGTTCCTGAAATCACAGCCATTAGCCAAGTTTTCTTTCTTTTGGTTGGGATTATCGTGGGAGCCATTTAGCAGAAACTGGCTGTGGGAGGATGGCTCTATTCCCTCTCCATCCTTGTAAGTCTCTGCGTAGTGGGTGGGTGAGTGGGGGGGAAGCAAGTTTTCCATAGATTCTTGATGAAATAAATTTTAATTGTAAGAATTATAAATCTAGATACAAAAAAGGAGTACAACTTACAAGTAAGAAAGAGCTTCCATAGAAATATTGAAAGGAGAAATATCTATTTTTTTTTTTTTTTGGAGAGGTTTTTGCTATAGGGCATGTGCACTCGCCAGAAAGATAGAGAGAGAGAGAGACAGAAGGTCAGAAAGCAAGAAATCACCCCCGGGGGGGATGGTTACACCGCAATTCCTTCTCTTCCATTCTCCTCTCGGGATCTTGGGCATGCACGCACATGCGCCCAGCATGAGCTCAAGCCACCGGATCCGGGACTCAAACTGTGGTCAACTACATGGAAGTCCAGCAACATAGTCATTATGCTAACTGCTGGTCCTGAGAGGTACCTCATTTTATTTGTGACAGATTCATGGCAAGGCACTGGACTTCACCTATTAGTTTAACTATTATTTTTATTTCATACACATATGTGATGCTATGTTCAAAGTGCATTATAAATATTGGCCCTTGAGGAAAACCTATAATATCACCATTATATTCATAAAAGTTATAACAGGTGGGACCAGCAATTGGCCTAGTGGCTATGTTGCTGGACTCCCATGTAGTCCACAGCGGTTCAATTCTCGGACCCGGTGGCTTAAACTCATGCCGGGCACGTGTGCGTGCGTGCCCAAGATCCTGAGAAGAGAATGGAGGAGAAGGGATTGTGACATGGCTATCCCCCCCTGGGGGTGAGTTGCTTTCCCTCTGTCTATCCTGTCTCTCTCTATCTGGCAAATGCACATGCCCTAGAGCAAAAACCTCTCCAAAAAACCTAAAAGTTATAACAGGAAGAAATTTCATAACTTGCTCAAGGTCATTCAGCTTATAAATGGCAAAACTGGACTGAGTATTATTAGGACCAAATGCTCTGTTACTCAGCTGTTCCGGCTCCCCAGCTCATAAAATTCAAAAGGATAGTGTTTGTCAAAAGAACATACATCAGCAAATTTATTCATATTGAATTATTGCCAGCCATCTTCTAAGGGAAAGCAAATCCAAATTGTTTGATCAGTTCAACAATTAGTTCGCAATGAGGCCTTACCAATTAGGCAGCAATTATCTTTCATAAACTACAAAGAGCTGAATCATCCACTTTATGGTTTTGAGGAAAATGCTTAAAGCACATATAGAATATATAAGACTTAGAAACTTCACCAAACATTTTGAGGGGCGTCCTTTTTTCCTTTAAGAATTATTTTATTTATCTTTTAAAATGTATCATTATTATTACATAACCATACTTATCTTTTTCTTTTTCTTTTTTTTTTTTTTTCCAAATTTGCCAGAGGGTGCATGTGCTCACCAGCGAGAAGCAGAGAGAGGGAAAGTAAGAAACCACCACCTAGAGGGAATGGCCATGCCACAGTCCCTTTTCTTTTATTCTCCTCTTGGGATTTTTGGCATGTATACACACATACCTGGTTTATTTTTCAAGCCATTGCATCTGGGACTCAAACCACGCAGCCAACCATGTAGGATTCAGCTGTCTTAACCACTATGCCACTGACTGGTCCTATAATAATATTTAAATGACACAATTGCATTTATATTTTAATAATTTCATATTTCTATATTAAATGAAACTTAAGATCACTGGCATCTCTTTGGAGAGAGGAAGTTTTTCTCTACCTCCCTCCCTCAACAAGTAATCAATTCACTCAATTAATTTCTAGTTTCCTTTTTTTTTTTTTTTGGATGCAACAATGGAAACTTTATTCAGTTCATTCAGAAAACATTGGCAAAATTAATTTCAGTTGTAAAATCACAGATATAAGCTTCAAAGTATAAAGTTGTGTGAAAAAATACAGATAATATTTATCTTTTTTTTTTTTTTTGGAGAGATTTTCGCTATAGGGCGCGTGTGCTCGCCAGACAGACAGAGACATTAGAGGCAGAAAGCGAGAAATCACCCCCCAGGGGGGATGGTCACGCTGCAATCCCTTCTCCTCCATTCTCCTCTTGGGATCTTGGGCACGCACGCACATGCACCTGGCATGAGTTTTAAGCCACCAGGTCTGGGATGCAACTGCGGTTGACTACATGGGAGTTCAGCGACAGCCATTACGCTAACTGCTGGTTCCCAAAAATACAGATAATATTTATAACAACTTACAGATATAAACTACAATTTTATAGAAGATTGTAGGCATTTTGCACATTTGTCATTTTTCTTTTAGGCAAAGTGCTCTTTGTCAAATGAATTAACAGATACACACTAGAGTGGACTATTTCCAGAGAATACAAAAAAAAGTTTTAATTTGTTTTTCTCTTGTAAACACTAGTTTATAATTTATAGTCTTCAAACATGACTGCACTTAAACTTTCATAATTTGATAAAGCATTCATAAAAAAAATCTGCAGACTAGTTTAACAGATACATAACACTTTTTTTTTTCTTTTTTGGAGAGGTTTTTTCGCTATAGGGCACGTGCGCTTGCCAGACAGACAGAGAGAGACATAGAGACAGAAAGCGAGAAATCACCCCCCCAGGGGAGATGGTCATGCCGCAATCCCTTCTCCTCCATTCTCCTCTTGATCTTGGGCACGCACGCACACACACCCGGCGTGAGTTCTAAGCCACCAGGTCCAGGACGCGAACCGCGGTCGACTACGTGGGAGTCCAGCGACATAGCCATTATGCTTACTGCTGGTTCCCACTACTCCAATATCTTCAAAAGTTTCACCTGCATTGGGACCAGCAGGTGGCCTGGTGGTTAAGGGCACTGGATTCCCACCTGGCCAACTGCAGTTCAAGTCCGGGACCTGGCGGCTTGCTTTCCCACTTTCCTTCTCTCTCTCACTATGTACCTCTCTGGAAAACTTTAAATAAATAAATTAATTAAATTAAATAATTATTAAAAACATTTTCACCTGCATTTTCTACAAGTAGTTTTATATCTTAAGGTTTTGTCTTTAAATCTTTGGTTCATTTTGAGTTGACTCTTGTTAATGGTGAGAGATAAGGGTTCAGTGATATTCTGCAGGTGGGTGTCCAGTTCTTCCAGCACCATTTACTGAAAAGCATTTCTTTTCTTCACTGCATTGTCTTGTACCCTTTGTCAAAGATCAATTGGCTGTATGAGGTAGGGTTCATTTCTGGATTCTCTGCTCTATTCCATAGATCTATGTGACTATTTTTGTGCCAGTACCAGGTTGGTTTGATGATCATGGCTTTGTAATATGTTTTAAAGTCAGGTAGTGTCTATTTTGCTTTTTAATACATATTGTCAAAGTTTCCTTACCAAATTATAATCACTCATCTTCTGCCAAAGATACTGTACTTCAGTTGTGACTCACCAAATTCCCCAAATAACAAAGTGATATGTCTATTCTCCAATCCCTACATTTTATCTTCTTACATTCCTCATTGTTTTGTCAAGGCTATGTCTACTCAAATGCCGATATCCCACTGTCTAATATCCATTACTAGACCCGTTAAATCAACTACTTTGGTTTCACACAAATAATAAGGGCAAAAACTTCACTCAGGGTAATGCACAAATGAACAAAAATGACAGTTAATTTTTGTAACTGGAGCAATATTTAACTGATTAGAATTAATATGAGATGGGGTTGCTAGACTGAGGAGCCCTGGTTCTACGGGAACAGCACCATGACATCATGACAGGAAGTTAGAGTTTCATTGTAGAAGCTAAGAAACTGTGCTCCTGCTCCTGAAAGGACTTTAATCCTCCCTGGTTCCTCCACCCACTCCTAATCAAATATGGGTAAGGTGCCTCCATAGCAGGGTTCTAAGCTTGTGCACTGACCTCTTGAGACATGCTGTCAGATAAACTCATACATCAGCTCAGGAGGGTGAGACTGAGCTTCAGGGTTCCATACCATTTTCTTGGTTACTGAGTAACGATCACTGAGAGCAGTGAATACGCCATGGTGAAGATTAGGAAACCCAGCCACGAAGCAAGGATAGTATATATATATGGCAGTGTAAAGTCTATATATGGCAGGTGAGTCATTTGGGAAAAACAATTTGGGCACACAGCAGAATCAGACTGGATGAGCATAATTTTCTAGTGACATTATTTAAGAGTTACCATCAGAGCAAGCGGGGACTGAGAGCAGAATCACATCTATATAGTGATTCATTTCCCCTTTTAGCCTCTGTCTTGTTCTGGCTTCATTCCCCCATATTATAAATACATGCAAAGTTATTAAATGTTGCACAGAAAAATGTAACAAATTTTTACCCCAAGTGTGATTTTATTTTTCTGTTTTTCTCACACAATTCCAAAGCAATACATGTTAGTACTTTAAACAGAAGTACTGACAAGATTTCTTTAATGGAATTTCATATTACTGGAGGGAATACAAATTCTCAGCCCAGAATTTTAAGTATTTGCAAGATATTTTACTCAGACTCATGATTAACTTGAAATAAAGAACTCATATGCACTGGCTTTAAATATTTCCATCTTTTATGGAGGCAGAAGTTTCTCAATAGTCAAGTATATGAGGGACCAGCAGTTAGCCTAATGGCTATGTTGCTGGACTCCCACGTAGTCGACCGCGGTTCAAGTCCCGGACTCAGTGGCTTAAACTCACACCGGGCACGTGTGCGTGCATGCCCAAGATCGCAAGAGGAGAATGGAGGAGAAGGGATTGCAGCATGGCCATCCCCCCTGGGGGGTGATTTCTCGCTTTCTATCTCTCTGTCTCTATCTGTCTGGTGAGCGCACGCGCCCTACAGCAAAAACCTCTCCCCCGCCAAAAAAAAAAAGAATAGTCAAGTATATGATATTGACTCTATGGGAAACTGTGAACACTGAATGGTGATGCAATTTCAAATACAAAGCTCATCATTAATTTAAAATCAATTCATTTGCAGATTTAGTCCTCAAGAATTTGCTCAGATCAATGGATCCAAAGGATGTGCTTATTTTCAAAGTGGAAATATTTATGTTTCTCGCTGTAGCGCTGAAATCTCTTGGATTTGTGAGAAGAGAGCTGCACTGGTGAAGATCGAAGATTTTGATTAGTATGCTTCTTCCAAATTCACTGAGAAATAAGGGCCATATGAGTAAGCCCATGTGAGCAAGGAAAAAGCCACAGTAGAGAGTCAAAACCAGCCAAACAGAAAATAGATGATAAAGTAACTGTGTCTTTAACCTATTGGGCAAATGAACTCGCTGTGAAGAATAGTCTCCATGTCATTGCCTGATGTCTTCTGATGAAACGTTTTCATTATTCAAACTTATCCCTGGGGAATTAGGGAAATAGCTGTTCTACGACCCTATTATTCTATGATCACTGAATTTCTTGTTTCTCAAATAAAAGACTCTTTTTTAAAAAATATACAGTTGTATGTGCACTAGGGCGATATTTAAATATTTAACTATCAGAATGGATACAGGCCTCAGCACTGGAGTGAGGTCCCAGAGGGTCTTGTCAAAGTTGCTGGGTCAGGTGGAGATGTAGAAGACCCAGGGTAAGGGTTTTGGCATGTGGGTCAGCAGTGTTGTACTATCGATTTGAAAATATTGTAGTATTTTAGCAAATGCCTTTCTGTCCCAGCTAAGTATCAGCCTGCAAGTGCAAAACAATTCTTTTTCCTTGACCCCCATGAAAATAAATTTTAAATTAATCTTTAAAATTTAGATAACTTGCAATGAAGTAGCATAATCATTCAGTAATAACATTTTAATCCTTTGTTTAAATTAGTAACATTGAAGTTATCAATTTGATTATCAGGCAATATTATTGTTATAAAAGTTTATTCTGTTAGGGAATCAGCAGTTAGCGTAATGGCTATGTCGCTGGACTCCCACGTAGTCAACCATGGTTCGCGTCCTGGACCCGGTGGCTTAAAACTCACACAGGGCACGTGTGCGTGCGTGCCCAAGATCCCGAGAGGAGAATGGAGGAGAAGGGATTGCGGCGTGGCCATCCCCTCTGGGGGGTGATTTCTCACTTTCTGTCTCTATGTCTCTCTCTCTCTGTCTGGCGAGCGCACGCGCCCTATAGCAAAAATCTC